AGCTCCTAAGCCACTGCATACTATATCGCCTATCTCCTAAACTACTGGTGCTACGGCGATGATCTTTAGCTCATATGAAAGCTCTCGACAAGCTTTTTGAATGAGCTATTTAAAATCGCCGTAACTCCAATATTTTGCAAGATAGGTTCTGCGAATGCGCGAGCGTATTTCTGCGCAGTGCCATCGCCTTAATTAGGGAGCTTTAGCAAAGCCTTACGAGTACGACTAGGAGTACGATTTACGTCATTTTAGTGCGAAAACATTGTTGTGACAAGAACAACATGTAGCCGTCATCAATCTGAGTACGATGTTTTTTAAAAAATTCGTAGTCGCGACTACGATGTCTTTTTAAGCAAAGAAAGTAGGTATATTTCTTCATTCTGTAAGAAATTAGTTTACAGTACTATTTTCGAGCATCCAGGCTTTAATTTAGAATCTTCTCTGAGCGCAGATATACATTAAAAAGGAAAATATGACCTGCAAAACTTTCATGTATTTCTAACGCAAAGTGAAAGGTAAACAAACAATAAAAAAGTGCAAATATATCGTACATAAGTCTTAAAATAGTGAAAATTTTTCAGTCTAAAGAGTCTACATTCTCGCAAAACCAGTATTACCGATTTATTGATATCACTATTGACAAATAGAGCCGTAGCTGCTTCGGCGATTTCCACAATGAAAAGGCTCGTTCTGTTGTTTACAACTAAAGCAAAATTTTGACGAAGTGAAAACGACAACAAACTTCCTCGTGCCATTCTCTTACACGGTCGAACTTCGTACTCGTTGTCGTAGTCGTACTCTTGCTAAAGCTCCGTACTACTGGTGCAACGGCGATGATCTTTAGCTCATCTAAAAGCTCTCGATGAGCTCTTTCGAATAAGCTATTAAAAATCGCCGTAAGTGCAATATTTTTGCGAGACAGGTTCTGCGCACGTGCAGTGCTAACTCCTACATTACTGGTGCTACGGTGATGAACTTTAGCTCATCTGATAGCTCTCAACGAGCTTTTTCGAATGAGCTATTCAAAATCACCGTAACTGCAATATTTTGCAAAATATGTTCTGCGCATGCTTGAGCTAGTTTCTGTGCATGCGAAGTGCTATCTCATAAACTAATGGTGCTATGGCGATGATCTTTAGCTCAACTAAATTCTCTCGACGAGCTCTTTCGAGTGAGCTATTCAAAATCACCGTATCTCCAATATTTTGCGAAATAGATTCTGCGAATGCACGAGCCTGTTTCTGCGCATGCGCAGTGCTATCTCCTAAATTACTGGTGCTGTGGCGATAATCTTTAGCTTATCTGAAAGCTCTCGACGAGCTCTTTGGAACGAGCTATCAAAAATGCCGTAACTTCAATATTTTGCAAGAAAGGTTCTGCGCATGCATGAGCGTATTTCTGCGCATTCGCAGTGCAATCTCTTAAACTACTGCTTAGGTCAAAATACGCTGGAGCATGCGCAGAATCTATCTCACAAAATATTGGAGTTATGGCGATTTTGAATAACTCATTCGAAACAGCTGGTCGACAGCTTTCAGTTGAGCTAAAGATTATCAACATAGAGCCAGTAATTTATGAAATAGCACTGCGCATGCACAGAAATAAGCTCAAGCATGCGCACAATCTATCTTGAAAAAAATATTGGAAGTACGGCAATATTAAATAGCTCATTCTAAAGAGCTCGTTGAGAGCTTTCAGATGAGCGAAAGATCATCGTTGTAGCATCAGTAATTTAAGAGAGTGCACTGCGCATGCGCAGAAATACGCTCGAGCATGTTCAGAATCTATTTCGTATAATATTGGAGTTACGGCGATTTTGAATAGATCCTTCGAAACAGCTCGTCAAGAGCATTTAGATGACCTAAAGATCCTAGCTGTAGCACCAGTAGTTTAAAAGATAGCACTGTGCATGCGCAGAAATAGGCTCGCGCATGAGCAGAATATATCTCGCAAAATATTGGCGTTACCGCGATTTTAAATAGCTCATTCAAAACAGCTCGTCAAGAGGTTTGAGATGAGCTAAAGATCATCGCTGTAGCACCAGCAAATTAAGAGATTGCACTGCGCATGCGCAGAGATAGAATTGCTCATGCGCTGAATCTATTTAGCAAAATATTGGAGTTAGGGCGATTTTGAATAACTCATTCGAAACAGCTCGTTGAGAGAGTTCAATTTAACTAAAGATCATCGTCGTAGCACAAGTAGTTTAGGTGATAGCACTGCGCATGTGCAGAGATTCGCTCGCGTATGCGCAGAAATTTGCTCGCACAAGCGCAGAATTTATCTACTAAAAGATTGGAATTATGGTGATTTTGATTAGCTCATTTGAAACAGCTCGTCGAGGGCCTTAATTTGAGCTAAAGATCATCGCCGTGGCACCAGTAATTTAGGAGATAAGACTGCGCATGCGCAAATATTCTCTCGAGCATGCACAGAATTTATTCTGCAACATATTGAGTTATGGTGATTTTGAATAACTTGTTCGAAACAGCATGTCTAGAACTTTTAGTTGAGCTAAAGATCATCGCCGTAGCACCAGTAGTTTAGGAGATAACACTGCGCATGCACAGAAAGAGGCTCGCGCATGAGCAGAATCTATCTCCTAAAATATTGGAGTTACAGTGATTTTGAATAGCTCCTTCGAAACAAATTTTCGAGAGCTTTCAGATGAGCTAAAGATTATCGCAATTGAGCCAGTAGTTTATGAGATAGCACTGAAATATGCTCGTGCATGCGCTGAACCTATCTCGCATAATATTGGAGTTACAGTGATTTTGAATAGCTCATTCGAACAAGCTCGTTGAGATCTTTCAGATGAGCTATAGCTCATCGCCGTAGCACCAGTAGTTTAGGAGATAGCACTGCGCATGCGCAGAAATACGCTAGCGAATGAGCAGAATCTATCTCGCAAAATATTGGAATTACGGTGATTTCAAATAGCTACTTCGAAACAGCTCGTCGAGAGTATTAAATGAGGTAAAGATCATCGCCGTAGCACCAGTATTTTGTTTGATATCACTACGCTTGCGCATGCGTAGAACCTATCTTGCAAAATATAGGAATTAGTGCGATTTTGAAGAACTCTTTCAAAATAGCTTGTCGAGAGCTTTTAGGTGAGCTAAAGATCATTGCCGTAGCACCAGTGGTATAGGAGATACGACTGCGCATGCGCAGAATCTATCTCGCGAAATATTGGAATATGGCGATGAGCTTCATCTTAAAGATCTTGACAAGCTCTTTCGAATGAGCTAGTCAAAATCGCCATAACTGCAATATTTTGCGAGATAGATTAAGCGAATGCGCGAGCCTGTTTCTGCGCATGCGCAGTTTTATCTCTTAAACTACTGCTTAGGTCGAAATACGCTCGATCATGCGCAGAATCTATCTTGCAAAATATTGGGGTTATGGCGATTTTGAATAACTCATTCAAAACAGCTCGTCGAGAGCTTTCAGTTGAGCTAAAGAGTATCGCCATAGAAGCAATAACTTATAAAATAGCATTGCGCATGTGCAGAAATAGGCTGAAGTATGCGCAGAATCTATCTCGCAATTATTAGAGTTACAGAGATATGAAATAAGTCATTCCAAAGAGGTCGTCGAGAGCTTTCATATGAGTGAAAGATCATCGTTGTAGCACCAGTAATTTAAGAGATTGCTTTGCGCATATGCAGAAATACACTCGAGCATGCCCAGAATCTATCTCGCAAAATATTGGAGTTACGGCGATTTTGAATAACTCATTGGAAACAGCTCGTCGAGAGCTTTCAGATGTGCTAAAGATCATCGCCGTAGCACCAGTAGTTTAGGAGACATTACTGCGCATGCGCAGAAATACCCTCAGGAATGCGCATAACCTATCTCGAAAATATTGGATTTAAGGTGATTTTGATTAGCTCATTCGAAACAGCTCGTCGAGAGCTTTCAGATGAGCTAAAGATCATCGCCGTAGCACCAGTAGCTGATGAGAAAGAATTGCGCATATGCAGAAATACGCTCGCGCATGCGCAGATCTATCTCGCAAAATATTGGAGTTACGGTGATTTTGAATATCTCATTCAAAAGAGCTTGTTGAGAGCTTTCAGATGAGCTATAGATCATCGCCGTAGCACCAGTAGTTTACGACATAGCCCTGCACATGCGCAGGAATACGCTCGCGCATGCGCAGAGTCAATCTCGCAAAATATTTGAGTTAGGGCGATTTTGAATATCTCATTCCAAAAAAGCTCTTCGAGAGCTTTCAGATGTGCTAAAGATCATTTTTTGAAATTAGTTTTGCGCATACGTGAGCTGGTTTCTGCGCATGCGCAATGCTATCTCATAGAATACTGGTGCTATGGCGATGATCTTTAGCTCAACTAAAAGCTCTCGACGAGCTCTTCCGAATGAGCTATTCAAAATCACCGTAACTCCAATATTTTGCGAGATAGATTCAGCGAATGCGCGAGCCTGTTTCTTCGCATGCGCAGTGCTATCTCCTAAGCTACTGGTGCTGTGGCGATAATCTTTAGCTTATCTGAATGCCCTTTGATGAGCTCTTTGGAATGAGCTTTAAAAAATCGCCATAATTTCAATATTTTGCGAGAAAGGTTCTGCCCATGCATGAGCGTATTTCTGCGCATTCGCAGTGCTATCTCTTCAACTACTGCTTAGGTGGAAATACGCTCAAGCATGCGCAGAATCTATCTCACAAAATATTGGAGTTATGGCGATTTTTAATAACTCATTTGAACATATGACGCGCCAAGCATTTCTTTATTGCGTTAAAAGGAATATTCGCTTGTATAAATTACGTCGTGCAAACTTTGATTACATATATTGGCAAATATTTAAAAAAGCTTGCTCTATTTACATTTATTCTCATCCTCGATTTACATTTATTCCATATAGCTGCATTTACATTTATTCCAATGCTGGAGACCATTATTCTGTTGTTGAATTTAAAATATTCTAATCTGATTTTAAAATGTCCTAATTAAATGATAAGGACTTGTAGTACGTATTCCATATATGGATATATATTGCACAATCCATAAGAGCAAATACACGACGCTAAAGCGCAAATACATGACGATAAAGAGCAAATACACGACGTTAGCAACAACAAAAAGTCAAAATGGCTGCTCGAAGGAGTCATTCGATTTCTGAGCGACATCCATCTGTGTACTGTGATAATGAAACTTGTAGTCCTCTTATTGTACGTTGTGGTCGAAATGACTGTGGCGCTGAAAAATGCAGTGGAGAGAAGTATCATTGTCCTTTGTGTCCTCCTGAAAAATTTTCAAAAGAAATTCCATCAAGAGTAAAAGAACACTTTAAAAGCGTCCACTGGGAAAACAGGATTCATGAATTTGAAGGTAAAATGTGCTTATTTCTGCGTAGGTTTAATACATAACCCACGTCAATGAGCGAAACGCACAAAGAACTTTGGATTAAATCACAAGTATTGATTAAATCATGAAGAATTTAGGTAATTTTAATAAATAATTTGAGAAATTGGGTTTAAACTTATAAAATATTTAGTTTTCTAAACTGCATCATCACAGCTGAAGATAGGTACTCTCAATTATAAATGAAAACCACATGCTTTTAACAGAAACTAACTTTGTGCTGTGCTATTTCCCTAAAATAGAAAAGCATTATTAACCTATCTTATATTTATTGAATATCATTTGATTGTATGCTCATCTAGTTAATATTGTATTTGTCTCACTATATATCCATAATATCCTATCATTTCCATATTCTTTCTTTACTATTTCTTGTTTTTTATGTAAGGTTTTGACATTCTGAGGTGTAAGCTGTCATGTACTTTTGCATCCAAACGACATGGCTCAGATGTCAAGCATTTCAAAGATGTTTCAGCACTATCACTGTTTTGGATGTAATTCTGGATTCAAGCGTCGCAATGAAGCAATTCGACATATAAGAAGTGCACATGATTTACAGCTTTCTGTTGTAGAGTTTGGTTCGGGGAAACAACAACAATGTTCTCAAAGTCAACTTTCTCCACATAAAGTAGCCCAACAGCAAGTACCTCAAAACCTACCATTTGAGCAGCAAATGCATCAAACTCAGTTCCTCAAGTTCAGCAGCATCAGCTGGAGCACCAAGTGACCACTCAGCATCTCACACAGCTGCAAACACAGCAACAACAAGAGCAATTTCTACATATGCGGCTATCTGAGGAAACACACCAACAAAGCAGCACAAACATAGAAATGTCTGAGGTTCAACAATATCAGGAGTTTTCTTACATGCCTGCTCAGTCTCGTTCAATGCGACAACAACCACCCAGAGTTAAATGTCCTTTCCGGACTGTAAACGAGAATTTCATCCAAATTCCCTTTCAAGCCACATAAAGACCAAACATGCTGCTGATAAAAGAAAGAAAATATCTTCAATGAGGTACTTGAATGGAATATGTGTTGACTCGACAAATGGGGTTTATCTTGTCAGGAAACAACTTAGTGGAACAGATCATCCCATTCATTGTCAATTTAAAACCACAAACTCTCCTTCTATTGCATGTAGTGTTGATACATGTCGTCAACTTAGCGAAACTGCTTCAAGAAGTGGTCAAGCAAATTTTCTTTGTGATCATGTGCAGTCTACATATTTTATTGGGACGTCAACTGTTGTTGATCATTTAAGAGAAGATTCTCTTGATTATATAGTGAACACTTTGAAATGGTTGAAATTTGAATGGAGGTCTGAATGTCTGCAGTGGCAGAAACAAGCTAATGACAAGAATACCCCAGTTGTTGTTCAGATGCCTGTCACACCTGATTCCTCCAATCGTTTCTTTCATTTTTCTGTGTTTGCAAATGTTAAACGGGATCATTACTGGTCATTTTGCAAACGAGTAATTGTATCATATGACAATGAAACTTCATCATTTCATTGCAAATGCTGCCCATCTCGTCGTTCCTGCATGCATAAATGCATTGTTAAGTGGGCAATTGGACAGTGGCATCCCTCTGTTGTTGGCACCACCCCACCAATTGATGATGAAATTGGTGAAGATTTAAGTTTACCAGAACCAGAAGATAATGCTGTTGAAGACTTTCTACTTGAAAATCAAAATCAAATTTCCCTATCTGGCAGCTTTTTTTATCCTCCTTCTGGAGATGTGGCTGCAAAGTTTGTTGAATACCTGTTTGCTGAAAAGAAAATCCCTTCACACCTTCCTTTGACATTAACTGTGGAAAAGGAACAATTTGCTAAAAGGTAACTGTTTATTTAAATCGAACAAAGCAACCTTTTATTATTGCATTGTCTTCACTCCAACGAAAATATTCTCCAACGGTTTAGTTCCTTATTGAAAATGACATTCTTTCCATTAACTAAAACAGCAAAAAGATTTATTGTTTGTATTGACATTGTCTTGTCTCCTAGTTACCTTCCTGTAGAAACCATCTGTTTTATTGTAAATCACCACTAACTGAGCCACACTGTGTAACAAGAAATGCAAAGTTGGTAACTATGAAAGGGATTATTGAAGGTTTGTCATTAATATGAAACAGCGTGTATATATCATCGATTTAAATCTCGAACTTTAGATAAGACATTGAGTTGAAGATAAACCCAAAATGTACAGTTACACATTTTATGGATTGTTTTGTATAGTTACCAGAGTGCTCAAACCTATAACGGTGAGCTTTGCATAGGGCGAAAGCGTTGACGTGTCATATGGACTCTCTACGTAGTCTGTGGAAAATGCTCAAACTATGCATGAGCAGAAAGCGTATTATACAATGTATACATATATGTGTGTGTATCTTTTCTTTGTTCTTCCAGGAATTTCGCTGTTTGCAAAGTTTTGTGTCGAGTGCAAGATACCGTACAGATACCAGGAGTATTCAGCTGGTGTTCACAATTTTAATGACAACTGGCTTTTAAGTTTGGGAATATGTGATATGATCAGAAAACATCTTCAGGTATGTTATTTTAAAGCATTTAAGAACCACTTGTCACTATTCCTTCCTCTCTTTTTCTCTTGATGTAAATTTTTTTAACTGGGTGATGGCCTTAACCAAACTGTGCATCATCCATATTGTACCATCCCACTCCCAATTTTTCATGTTGATAGTTAAGAAAAACAAGGAAGGGATATTAATAACCAGGTATGCATGCTTTAAATGAGCATGTATTGTATGAAAATATAGGTTCACAACGCTGTCAGTCGCACTGTTGAGGCAATTGAAAACTGGCTGCAGTTGCGACCATTTCAGTTACCACGTGGTCAAATGATGAACGCGTATCTTCACTTTGAAGCTCTCTCAGATCATGACTATGGGTTTTCTTGTGTTTTGTGTGGACACTTTCCTCCCTGTTAACTCTAGATGTAGACAAGAAAGGAATCTTTGAACTAGCGGGTAAATTTGACTGATAATTTGGCAAACTTTTTTTATGAGTGGTTTTTGTTACATACTTTTACATTGTCATTTTTTAGGTTTGTTGACTTGAATTTTGATTTTGTTAACTTGTATTCATTTGCATTGTAGTTAGTGAACTTCAGTTGCCAGACCCCGAATCCGATGCTCCTGAAGATGAAGTGGACGCTGAAAAGTACTGGCAACAAGTGAACTGTGGGATCTTATACAGAGGAGTATTGAGAGGTACGTACGTGCTACAATGTTGATGTACTCACTGCACGTGAAAGTTTAACGTTTTTTCTTACATAATTTATTTTTTGGTTTATTTTTGCTTACAAATCCGGTTTATTTTTGTTTACAAATCCTTATGATTGATTTGTTTGATGTGCACGTAGCGTATACACCATCTGGTGTGTTTGAATTATGATAATGCTTGTAGTTTTTCAATTGTTTGTAGGTACTGAAAAAAACCCTTTAGAAATCAAGCCTTCATATAAGTTTTGGGCCCCATATATTGGCCCAAAATGCAGAAGAGGAAGGAAACTTTTTAATACCGAATACATGAAAGCGTATCATAAACAAAACCTAACATCAGCTGGGGCTACATCTGATGAATGTTCAATTGAAAAGCTCATGGATTTGTTCTGTGAAGGAAAAGTGCGTATTGCTATTAATTATTAGGCTGTGTAGAAACTTTTGGGATGAGTTGGTTTACATAAAAGTCATTCTCTGTGTACTTTTTAGGTACCTGTTATAAGAGAAATGGCCAGAAGTTTAAATGTGAGCGACAAGGGTCGAAACTTGATATAATTAACCGTATAAAATCTGTTTTGAATATCGAAGAAACGTTTCTTAAACTTTTCTCAAAGATGTGGGGTGGTTCAGGTAAGGTTAACTTGAAATTGTTTCACAAAGACGACGATTTTCGTAAAGCATTATGTATTGTGCTTCTTACCTTTATTCCTACCTACATACGTTTTATACATTAATCTTTTGTGGATATTGGTGTGTTAGCTTACAAAAAATTCATCAAATGGTTTCCTTTTTCGGGCAAAAGGTTCAGGTTCAAGTCCTGTCTGATGACGTATGTGAGTTAGATATAACAAAAACATAGTTTTGTACTTTTATGTGTTAAATTTGTTGATATATTGAGTGCACATTGTGTGAGAAGACAGCAAACTTAGCAAATTCATTATTATAATTTCAAATGGATAAATAATTTTTATTTTTGGCACAGGCGGTTGGTTGGGAATGACGTGTCCACATGGAGTATGCTATGGTCTGAAATGGCTATTGCGACAAGAAGGACCACGAGATCATGTGGACATGCTTATGAATCTCGCTGCTGTTCCGAATGTTACCATATTGGATATGGCAAACATGATTGTAGCTCATGCAAGGAACAGAGGATACGACGTTTTCATCCATTCCAAGGTCGTGTTGCTGAATATAGCCTGGAAAATATCAGACGAGCTAATAGTGGTGAGCTAGAGATAGACTGGCCTTGGTTTCCAAACGGAGAAAGATGCGACTTGTCAACTGTCGTACAAAGGTCGGATGGTGAGCAGCTTCTGTGTAATCCCTCAACTAGATCTTCTGATCATTACTGCCTGTTTGATCAATTTCACGAGAAAAATTCCACGAACCCAGCCGATTGCTTGCGAAGAGTGTCTTGCGTTAACCAACTTGCCGGGAAGATCAATTCAGAAACTGCTGAACAACTCAACAACAGACGAAACCGTGATAATTACTTCACAACATCTTTGACAGCTCACAATTCCGTCTTCATGGAGCGATTGGCAACTCATTTTAGTAATGAGAAATTAAACCAACGTATCATAAATACTCATCGCAAGCAGGTAAGTGAGTGTTTTATTCTTTATTTTTAATGGAGTCTAAGTGATGTTGCCTTTCCAGTTGCCGGAATAATCTTTTAAAATGTATGAAATCTTCTGTCTCTTCACAGTTTGGAATGGCTATGAGTTTTAACTCCTTCGGTCAACTTATAAGTAGAAATGAAGATGATGGGACCGAGCAGGCATCACAACCAAAACGCGTCCGTTTGTCGACTGAAAGTCTTTCAACAGCTAACAGACCTGCCACAAGTAGCACTGGAACACTAAATGATGCTTGTGATGAGTTGACACACGTTGCTGAGAAAATGAATCCTCAGCTACAAGCAGCTACGACCTTGTTATAGACTAGTTGTGACCTCGTCAGTCGTCATCGAAGCTTAAGTGATATTTGACATAAAGGAAGCTCAATTTCTGTTTGGTTGTTCACAGCTTGGCAAAGAACATTGTAACAAGTCGAATTCCAAAGTCGAATTCCATTACAATCTGTAGATCTAATTCCAATATATATACTTATTCATATAGAACTGATGTCCAATGCCTGAACACTAAATTCAAATTTCTTTCAAGCATTTCATCAAATTTTCTCAAATTCTTATATAATTCATAAAACATCTAATTATACCTAATGTGAAAATTTTATGTAAAATAAAGACGTCCTTCGATGTGAACTGATATATCATTATCATTATCATAATATGCCTGGATTACCAATTTTCAAATATACTATATATAGTATACATACGTATAGATAGCCAATGCCTAAATAGAATCTTAAGTTCTTTGAAGCATTTCATCAAATTTTCTCAAATTCTTATATAATTCATAAAACTTCTAATCATACC